ATATCAACCAAGTGTGGTGTTTAGTAATTAAAATTTATTAATCTCTCAAACTCTTTCTCTCCCACTCTCACTCGGTGTTCGTGTTCAGTGTGCAGTGGAGTGTTAGTGCAAGGGAAGGCACTTTCGCTGTGTTCCGTGGATTCTAGTGCCCAAGGCCCAAGGACATTAGTCTAATTTCCTTGAATTTTTTCTATCAACGATATTAAAACTCTGGATTTGTTATAACACACGTAAAACACAATTTAGAAACCCAAAAATTCTAGTAAAACAATAACATTAATTAGGAAAGACGATTAAAATATAGTTCTCTTTGATCATATTTACGAACATTGCAGGATGACTATTCGCGGGCATTTGGTGCCGCTTATCTCAACGAATTAAAATTATGAATTGTTGGGCCTTGGGGGTTGAACCAGAACCAGCCACCCTCTCTCTTGATGTTTATAATTTTGGTTGGCATGCTTTAACAATGACACGACATTATCTTAACAAAATTATTTGATCTAAGTGATGAGATTGATCTGGAATTCAGATTCTTATACATTTTTTTAATGAAAAGATCGCTGACATGTACTACTAGAAGCCCGACACGTGGGAAATCCTTAATTTTATAATTTCGTTCAATTTATAAAAATGATTGACAAACGCGCGCACAAATTGCGTAGGGTTTATCATATTATTTATGGTCGTCATGAATTTATTGATTCATTTTAGACAAACATAAATCAAAATCTCTTGTTCACGACTTTTTTTAATAATAAAAAAATTGCATACTTAATGATTATTTTTTTAAATATGTATAGATATTTTTTTATATTTTTATTAATTTATATAAATATATAATATGAAATATATATGTATATAGTTATTTATTCATTTATCAATTTTGTTATGAATAAATATGTCTTTTGAGAATTAAAATAGAAAAATATCTTAAGAAATTTGTCAAGCTAAAGCAAATTTAAAATACTCCTATGTTTAGAATAAGCTTGGCGAAAGAGATTGCTGAACAAAAATGTTTCACCAATTTTTGTAATAGAGGATTATTTAACACTTTGAATTTCTCATTTATCAATTATTTTTTTTAATTAAAAGACTACTTGGAAAGTTGCATCTGCAATTTAGACTTAATTTTACATAAACCATCGAATGGAAGAATAAACAATGCACTCAAATCCCCATTTTATGTACGAATTTTTCTAAATTTCGTCAAATTTATAAAACTGATTAATATATTACGAGCGACTATTGACGTCACACTTCTCTATACTTCCGAGAAGTATAAAAAAAAAATTTGCAAAATTTTATCTGCAATTTAGACGTAATTTTACATAAACCATCGAATGAAAGAATAAACAATGCAATAAAATCCCCATTTTATGTACGAATTTTTCTAAATTTCGTCAAATTTATAAAACTGATTAATATATTACGAGCGACTATTGACGTCACACCTCTCTATATTTCCGAGAAGTATAAAAGAAACGATTTGCAAAATTTAATCTGCAATTTAGACATAATTTTACATAAACCATCGAATGGAAGAATAAACAATGCACTCAAATCCCCATTTTATGTACGAATTTTTCTAAATTTCGTCAAATTTATAAAACTGATTAATATATTACGAGCGACTATTGACGTCACACTTCTCTATACTTCCGAGAAGTATAAAAAAAAAATTTGCAAAATTTTATCTGCAATTTAGACGTAATTTTACATAAACCATCGAATGAAAGAATAAACAATGCAATAAAATCCCCATTTTATGTACGAATTTTTCTAAATTTCGTCAAATTTATAAAACTGATTAATATATTACGAGCGACTATTGACGTCACACCTCTCTATATTTCCGAGAAGTATAAAAGAAACGATTTGCAAAATTTAATCTGCAATTTAGACATAATTTTACATAAACCATCGAATGGAAGAATAAACAATGCACTCAAATCCCCATTTTATGTACGAATTTTTCTAAATTTCGTCAAATTTATAAAACTGATTAATATATTACGAGCGACTATTGACGTCACACTTCTCTATACTTCCGAGAAGTATAAAAAAAAAATTTGCAAAATTTTATCTGCAATTTAGACGTAATTTTACATAAACCATCGAATGGAAGAATAAACAATGCACTCAAATCCCCATTTTATGTACGAATTTTTCTAAATTTCGTCAAATTTATAAAACTGATTAATATATTACGAGCGACTACTGACGTCACACCTCTCTATATTTCCGAGAAGTATAAAAAAAATGATTTGCAAAATTTAATCTGCAATTTAGACGTAATTTTACATAAACCATCGAATGAAAAAATAAACAATGCAATAAAATCCCCACTTTATGTACGAATTTTTCTAAATTTCGTCAAATTTATAAAACTGATTAATATATTACGAGCGACTATTGACGTCACACCTCTCTATATTTCCGAGAAGTATAAAAAAAAAATTTGCAAAATTTTATCTGCAATTTAGACGTAATTTTACATAAACCATCGAATGAAAGAATAAACAATGCAATAAAATCCCCATTTTATGTACGAATTTTTCTAAATTTCGTCAAATTTATAAAACTGATTAATATATTACGAGCGACTATTGACGTCACACCTCTCTATATTTCCGAGAAGTATAAAAAAACAATTTGCAAAATTTTATCTGCAATTTAGACATGATTTTCCATAAATCATCAAACAAAAAAATAAACAATGCAGTAAAATCCCCATTTTATTTTAGATTTTTTCTCCAATCCATACGAAACTCTATTATAAACAAGAATGTTAATGCAGCTTGATAAATTTAGAACGAAAACCATTCATAATCCAACCGTCATCTCAAACATTCTCCCTGAATTTCAGCTCAATCTCACCGTTTACCTTTTTCGAAATCGACAATTCGATGCAGAACATCACTCGTTTCAAACAATGAAGGGATTCCATTGCGCCCTTTAGATCATTCTGTCAAGAAAATGCCGTGTCGCCGTTGAAATACCCCTTTTGTTTAACAACTAACATTGAAATAGAACCCTAGAATACCGGTATTTGCAAGCTAGGCATAAATCCTTTAATTTCAATATCGCCATTGTTCTTAAATTCCTCGGTGCGGAATAGGCCTGATTACTCAAAAAATCACTATTTAATCTATTACATAACCACATATAAGTAGGCATGTATTAAACATAAACTCGAGGTGACTGTTTATGCGCTTAGGGCACTATTTTATACTATACTATCACAATGGACGGCCCTCGTACACTCCTTTCTAAGATGAAAAATGGTTCCAGCTTTTTCCTCACATTTTTTTTCGTGTTTTCAACAATAAATCTTTTTCATGTTTTTTTCATCTCTTACATTAATTTTTCACGGACTAAAATAAAAAACGTTTGCTCAGTATTTTCAGCTTCATATTGGAAGACTTCCGGTGCGCCCAAGGGCTTTGCCTCCATGCAGCGCGTAGATAAACTATAAAGGCTTCTTCGTTTTCTTTCAATATTTTGTTTCATCTTTTTTTTCTTAATTCAATTCTTGTCTGTAAGTATGCGTGAGTTTCGTTGTGCCCGAAGGAGCCATTTTTAATCTCATAGAGGATCAAAGAGCTCGGAGGATCAGGAACGTGGGCGACGCCAGGGGTTTTCTCTCATTTTCTTTTTCCCTTTCTTCGCCAGCAAAGAACTCAGCTGGGCTTTCAACCTGTGTATCAGGATTATTTTTCTTCGTTGACTGTGGGGACGCCCAAATTCTCACCTCCCAGTTCCTTGTTCGAGGAGAGACTGCTGTGAGTTTTAAAAGTCGGGGACTGTTGCAGTAAAATTTATAAAAACGAAGAATAGGGGCAACAGAATTGAGGATTTTTTCGCTTGCCCCGAAGATGCTTCAGATGTTAATGACAGTTTCCTGTTGTCAACATGTGACAATTTTTTTTTAATATGTAGAAGGAGAGTTACGAATTAATTTTTTCAGTTTCGATCACTAGTAGCCAATTTTGTTTTTGTTTGCAGAAGAGCAGATCCGCTCTAAATTAGCAGAACATCAAGTCGATGCTAGGGATTTTTGTCTCAATTTTATTCTGAAGAGATGGAGAAGAGACAAAAATTTTGGAGAAAGAACAATTGAAAAATACGGATAATTGAGGGAGTTGGAATTTTTTGGCCCCAATATCTTTGCCGAGTTTCAAACCATCAATTCGCCCTTTGGCACACTCAAAGAACATGAAAAACCCTTCAAAATGAGACGTCATACATAACAGTATCTTTAGTTTGACGGGATTTATACGAGAAAACGTTTGTTTAGATCGTCAATTACTGAAAAAGCTAATTTTCTAAAAATCTGAAATTTTCACCAAAAAATGTCAATAAAACTTCAAAAATTTTGGCGCCAATTAGAGTTTGTCTTTCGCTGTAGTCCGGCGGTTATTAATTTTTTTATTGAGACAAGTATTGAAAATGGCCGAAAATCGCTATTATTCTTGCAATTATCGCCCGAATAAGTGAATATTCAATTAAATATTGGCAAATGGTGGAGATTAGACTCATTATATCTTCTATTATTCATCTTCAGGATGATTTTTTGAGTGAAAAATTATGATTTCTCTAATTATACAATGGAAATACATTTTTCCTTTCATTTGTTGGTAATCGAGAATTTAATTGAAGTGACTCATTTTTAATTATTCAATTGAATATTCACTCGTTTGGGGAATAATTGCATGAATAGCGATTTTCGGTCATTTTCAATACTTGTCCCGCTGAAAAAAATAATAACCGCCGAACTGCGGCGAAAGACAAACTCTAATTGGCGCCGAAATTCCTTTCATTTTATTGACAATTTTTGGTGAAAATTTCAGATAAAAAAAAATAACTTTTTTACTAATTAACGATTGAAAAAAACCTTTTCTCCTATAAACCCCGCAGAAATATTGACACTAATTTGAAAACAATTTTTTAAAATAAAAACTAGCCATTTTCAAAAAATCATAACTCCCCCAATTATCAACACTTTTCAATTTTTCTTCTTTCAAAATGATTACCTAATCGCCATCTTTTCAGAAAAAAAATCTAGACAAAAATCCCCAACATCGACTTGTAGATTGTTTCCTTTCTTAAATATTTTTTTCTACCTCAAATAAATGAAAAATATCCTAAATAATTTGAGAGTACATTCATTACCTATTTTCAAAGTTATTCTACACATTTTCTAAAAAATTTTTTAAAAACTTCAAACGAACGATAAACAATGTTTTTCAATTCCTCCATCGTGTTAATCCACGTATAATAGACCTCCAACGTCTATTACATCCCACTCCATTACCCCCAAGCTTTCAAAACTCACAGCAACCTCCCCTCAATATTTATTTATCATAAATTTCGTGGCATTAATCACGACCGTCGTTACCTAGTCTATCATAATGATACAATCACTACACAAATTGTTACGCCAACATGCAGCTGTCCTGCACTCGTACATCTCTATCAATAATATATTAATATATAAATGTTTTATTCCCACTTGGTACGAGACATCGTATATACAAGTATATACCTCTATCACTCTCAATATCGTATAATAAATGTACTTGAAGACATATGTTATTGAAAAAACAAAGTGTTTCAAATCACTGGCAAGTGTATCTTTATTCTTTCACGAGACATTTACTTCATCCGCCTGTATATTTTCCATTTCCCTTTGTTTTGTTCAATGTCGTTCATGCGCTTTCTCACATACCCCACACACTTACTTCTAGATTACGTCATACGTTATTCTGACAAGGACCTATCAGTAATATTTACTAATAAAAATACAATACATTAGTTACTCTGCTTATTAAACGCATTGGCCGCGTTAATATTTGGTGAATGTGTATCGTGATGGCGTTCGTGCTATTTTCCATCGAAAAGAAAACACTGCATTTATCACTGATGAAAATTATTCATCTCGTTTCCTCAACAGTGCTTAACATTCTTTCCATTTCAACTTCATAATGTCGAAACACGAGGCTCGTACGATCACTCTGTACCGCGACATGTAACTCTCCCAAATTGAATAGCATTAGTATCGCCCACCCGCTAAGAAAAAAAATTACTAAACATAATCAATAACAAGTAGACTTAAACCATGTTACAACAACATACTCCATAAATAAAAAACAATTAAAATATAAATGACTGCGAAGTGTCGCAGCATTGCGGCAAGAGTGCGCTTAGACATGACTAAACCTCAAGACAATTTGATAAAAATATCGTTAAAAATCCCCAGAACAGACATTAACGTGACAGATATCCACTACACTGTAACAATTCCTCAAGTCTCAATGAAGATAAAAACAAACAATTCCTTAAATTCCATCGAGAAGAAAAACTTGGTGCACAATTCCCCGAAAAAAAACCGTTCCAACAAGAACAAAAAAATCAACCACCACAATAAATGAGTCCGATAAAAATACGTCGAAGGATAAAATAGAAAACCTAAAACAGTCTTTACCACGACGTTATGTGAAAAAATATATATAACGTACATTACTTGATTAAAATAAATTCTAGATTAAAAGTAATTCACACGTCACTCGACTCGCTTATCAAAGTCGCCAGGATTAATGGGAATCGAGTCATTAAGGCACTGTTCATCGACAATGTCTGACTAGAAAATGAAACTACTCTCGTAAAATACCAATACCACATTCTGCCCTCGTGACAAAAATTCACTGTAACATTCACGAAGGCAGCAAGATCGTCTGGCACTGATTTACGTAGTTTTCATTTTCTTGTACGGTTGCATAATGACGCCCGTGCTGACGGGGATGGCAACCTGGGGTTGCGCAGCTATCGTCGCAGGATTGGCAGTGGGCACCTGATGAATGCCAGGAACAGCTGTTGGTACACCAGGCACACCGGTGACGCCGACAGCACTCATGCCAGGAATCATGGCGTAGGGATTCTGGGCGTATGGATTGGCGGCTTGTTGTAATGCAGCAGCAGGTACACCAGGAAAAGAGGCCTGAACGTAGGGAGAATGTAGCATAGGATGCTGACGAATGAGGGAGTAAGGATTGATGGGAGTTGCGCTGGGTGGCCTTTGGTAATGCAGAAGGCTGGCTGGCAGTTGCCCACTGAGTGGACCCCCAGGTATGCCAGCAAGACCAGGCGGCAGCATCTGACGCGTTTGAGCGCTGGCTGCCACAGCAGCTGCTGCCTGCGACTGATTGATCGCAAGCGCTTGCTTGTTCAAGGCAACTCCAGTGTAGTTCAGAGCTGTCAGGGGATTGATGCCGTACTGCTGGCTCGTCTGCATCTTAATGGCTTTCGCGTAGTTCTTCTGGGCGACTTCCTTAGCAAGCGCTGCCGGGTCCATGGCAGTGAGACTGTGCCCCATGCCCAGAGTATTCAGCACACTAAAGTGCGCCATGTTCGCCATCGTGTAATTGGCCATTGAGTTGACGTTGGCCTGATGTATACTGGCATTGGCAAGCGACACGATATTGGCCATCGAGAAGTTTGGTACGTTCGGCATTGAGGTTGTCATTGCGCTCATTGTTGGCATTGATACGCCAGCTGAGTGGGCTGTTAGCTGATTAACTTGGGGCGAATTCGAGTGATTCAAGTCGGGAGAGTTACGCGCGTTTTCGCCGTCGTGATTCAACGTTAATTGTTTATTATCATTGGTATTTGAAACACTACCACCGCCACTGGCTGATGATGGCGGTGGTGGTGGATTATTAACACCCATAACACCGTTTGACTCAGACACTTGGGCCAGGCTAGATGAGGCCTGGGATTGAATTGAATTTTGAACGCTTGATATCGACTGGTTAGAGGTTTGAGGAAGGGGTGGTGTTCCAGCGTACTCACATGACACAGGCACGAACGGCTGCGGCAGCTGCATCAACTGCTGGTAGGTCGTTGCACCAGTTGCCTGGTACACTGGCATACCAGATTTGTCACCAGCTGGACGTTTGTACGGTACCATACCCGGAAAGGCCTGAAATCAGGGAAAATACAGTCGTCAGTTATTCCGGTTTTTTTTTTCTCCGCGGAATTGAGTAAAATTGCTCGAGCCACGTCGAGATTTGTCGCAACGGTTCGGTTGCTCTCGGGATTTAGGGCGTCGCTCCCGACGACTGGATCACTGCTGCATCGAACTTTTTTCGCTCGTTTTTAAAGATTTTTTTCGGGTTTGAATGATTGATGAAAGAAAAAAAAGAAAAATAAAGCGTGATTTGGATAGAATTCGTAGCGCGATCATCGAATGCTTTAATGATACTTTTCTTTGGTGCTACACTTACAAAATTGTCGTAGTAGAAAGACCCGAATGACTTTGATTCCATCTGCAACAAAGACAGGATAGGTTTCAACTATTTTCGAGGGTGTGACATTTAGCTTTTTTGTGGTGTTATTTTATCTTTGGCTTTTTGTCATTCTCCGGAGCCGGGGGTGGGCGGGGGGTGGGTAGACAGTGGGGGAACATGGTAAATGTTAGTTATTTACAAGTTGTGCCGATGACGCAGCTTGAGGACGATGTTGCCCATTCGACGAGAGTGACAATTGCTGGATTAAACAAACTGTAAAATTGACTCTATCACGTGGTGATAACACTGTCAACAAATAGACATGTCGATGTGGATAATGCCGGGAAAATGACGCGGTTTGTGGTGTCGTTGGTTCCTGGATGGAGAGCGAGGTGTCACTCGAAGAAATTTTAATTTCGTTCGAATTAAGGACGACGATCAGATTTGCAAGTAAAGCCGAACGTTAGGCTGACATTAATAATAGGTATAACAAATGTGTCAATAATTGTGAATCACGAACGCGAGGAGAAAATAAGCTAGTGCCTTCTTTTAGAAGTGAAAGAGGTAAAAACGGAAGAGAAGTGAAGAGCGGAGGAAAGTAAAACGATTGTAATGAAGCAGCCAACGTTTTTTTTTCTGTCGCAAATGAATGAAAAATTTGCAGAAGCAACATAAAATGGGTTTTCGAAAAAATTTAGTCGCAAGCTGCGAACGTAGTGCGAAAGCTCAAGCCCGATTGCCACGTGATTGATCATCTCATGTGTCTCAACTTCATTCGTCCAAACTCGAGGGATTTCGGCGATGAAAGCTCGTGTGGTTTAAAATATGTTTTTAGTCAAGTGGATAATTTATATTGCCAGTGTAGGAAGCAGTCTATTCGTGCTCGTCGGTTAAACTCGACGTGACTCTACATTGAATAACGATTGACAAGTGATAAGCAGAGGAGTTAGCACGGACTGGGGGAGTAAACGAATTGATATTGCAAAATCAATTTCTTGGGTTGCGGGGAACATTCTGGGCTGCGCACTGCTGAATTATTTTGGAATTTCAGGAATTTCACGTTTTGAAAATTGCTGGCAGATTGCGGACATTTCAAGGAGTTTCGTCAGTAAAATTTAAATTGCTGGGGGAAAATCAGTGGATGGTGGAAATTTTGAATCAATTATTTCATGAACATCGATAGAAATCAGAAAAATTCCGGCGAATATATTCTTGAATTTTTAATTAATTGAAAACTTTATGTAATTTGGTAGGGAATAGTCATGTTTAGATTGAAAATTTAGGTAAGCTAGGGAATTCTTGTCTTTTTGTTGCTTAAAAAATGGAGTTTCATTGGATTTTCAGTGAAATTTGAAATTCTATACTTGAAGTTTTATAATTATTCCGCTCCAAATAGAATTTAATGTCACAGTCAGTGAAAATTTAAACTGCTGTGGGAAAATGAATGGAAGTTGGAAATTTTGAATCAATTATTTCATGAAAATCGATAGAAATCAGAAAAATTCCGGCGGATATATTCTTGAATTTTTAATTAATTGAAAACTTTATGTAATTTGGTAGGGAACAGTCATGTTTAGATTGAAAATTTAGGTAAGCTAGGGAATTCTTGTCTTTTTGTTGCTTAAAAAATGCAGTTTCATTGGATTTTCAGTGAAATTAAAGTTCTATACTTGAAGTTTTATAATTATTCCGCTCCAAATAGAATTTAATGTCACAGTCAGTGGAAATTTAAACTACTGTGGGAAAATCAATGGAAGTTGGAAATTTTGAATCAATTATTTCATGAAAATCGATAGAAATAAGAAAAATTCCGGCGGATATATTCTTGAATTTTTGATTAATTGAAAACTTTATGTAATTTGGTAGGGAAAAGTCATGTTTAGATTGAAAATTTAGGTAAGCTAGAGAATTCTTGTCTTTTTGTTGCTTAAAAAATGGAGTTTCATTGGATTTTCAGTGAAATTTGAAATTTTATACTTATTTCCCTCTAAATCGAATTGAAGGTCACCGTCTTATAAACTACTCGTCAACAGTACGTGAAATTTCCGAAGAGAGATTGATCATTAAATTCGAATTAGGGAAAAAAATCATGAAATTTGAAATTTTATTGACAATTAAATGAAATTTCAAATCTTTGAGTATCTGAAAGCAAGAATTCTTCAACCTAATTAAATTTTCAAACAAAAAATTAATGTTTAGTACCAAATTGTGCAGAATCTTCAATCAACTTTAAATAAAATGCAAGAATAGATTCACCGGACTGAGTTTTTGAGGAATATGTCAGTTTTTGCTGAATATCTCCAAATAGAAGAGAGGTACCGAAATTTTTGTAAAGACCTTTTCCGTAGCTCTCAATTTCCTCTACAAAAAAGGTCGTAACAAAAATTTTGCCACCTGCCTTGGATTCAGAGATATTCATTGAAAACTGATCAATAGTCAAAATCAACTTGAACCGTTTTACCACTTCGCTGAAAATTTCTATTTGTATTAATTATTGATTATTTACTTTCAATTTTCTTCAAGATTCCTATTAAATTTCCCTCGATTTAAACAAATTTTGTTAATTGTCAATGACGAAATTTCTTGAAAATTCAGTGAAACTCCAAATAGAATAGTAAAAACTCCCGAAAAGTGCACCGGAAACTTCCGCCAAAAAATTTCAACAGTACCGCGGATTGATCGAGTATTCATTCTATTTTCCCAGCTCAAGAATTTTTTTTCGCAATATTGTATCGCTTCTCCTCTCAGTGCAGAGAAGAATAACTTCACCAAGTTAAAAATAATATTTTTAATTCTGAAAGTTTCTTTTTCTCCGCGCATTTACATATATATTAAGAATTCATCAATATATGCAGACGTTTCATCGAAGCTGTTCAATGAACAACACCTCGAGGCACTTTGTATTCATGTAATCGTCGAGGGGATGACGTCCATTGCACCATCACCTCGGGGGCGGGGAGAAGGGCTTAAAAAGCACAACATGCATCATCGGCGCAAGCTTGAAATTTACAAACGAAACACAATTCGCTCACTCAATTAATTTCGTTCGTTTTTAGGGAGTGAATTGTTGATTTTCCACTGATCTCATTGTTTTTGGAATTTAATCATTTTTATTCTAGTGCATCGTGTCAATTTTAAGTGCTGGGGACGTCCCAGAAGGTCTCCTCGCCCTCAGATTCGAGAGTGAATGATGAAATAAATCGAGGAGACTTTTGGGATTTGGCACTAAAAAAAATAGATTGATCTTCGGTGATCCATAAATACAATACGAGGCGTAAGCTCCGAACCACAAGACCAAAAGAAATTAATAAATGAGAGAAAGGAGAGAAATAAATGGCCCGGGCTCGCAAGTTTATTAAAAGTCGTTTCTTCATAAGGGAGAGTAAAATAAATTAATCGATATGTCACACCGCAGGAAACTCTCGACGGATGGTTAAGCGTTTCCTGGTGATCGACTGGTACTTTTTAGACTCTGACGTCTCGAGGTTGGACAAATTGGTGACAATGGGGCAATTGTTTTTCATATATTAGAGGAGCTAGAGCTCTAAGCGCGCTCGGCAGTGTATTTACAATCGTAATTAACTATTAATGTAAAACTTAAAAGTAGAAACTAGTCTTGGTTGCGAGCAATTATTCATTTTGGTGATATTTTCATGATGCGGTGGGCATTTTTATTTCATGGAGGTGAGAAGAAAAATTATTTATTAATCATTCGTTGAATTCTGACAGCTAATTGTTAGAATTTTATTGCTGCAACTAATATTTTTCGGCAAAAGAAAAATTTCATTCGATGATTTCTTCAATGTAACGAGAAATATTGGGGCAAAATGAGTTATCTTTTTTTTTAATTCGTTATTTAATTTTCCAGAATTAACTGAGAAAAAAAATATATTAAATTCTTGAAGAAATTTGCACAGACTTGATGGAGGCAATAATTGCTGAATTATTTGTTGAATAAAAATTTAAAAATTGACCATTTTGTTAATTAAAAATGGTTTTTGAAATTCAACAAATATTTTCCTTCAACAAAAGAAAAATTTTAAAAATTTTCTTTCATTTCGATATACTTTTATTTTTTATTTTGCATTTTAATGAAAATTTTTTTTTATCTTGTTCAACAAAAGAAAAATTTCGTTCAAGAATTTTTGCAACACCTCAAAAAATACTCGGGCAAAATGGGCCGTTTTTAAATTCATCATCAAATTTTCAAGTACTAATTAAGAAAATAAGTTATTGAATTATTGTTCTCAATAAATTTATTTTACGAAAAAAGTCATAACAAAAATTTTGCTTTCTGTATTAGATTCCCAGATAATCATTAAAAATTGGCCAATAGTCAATTCTAAGAACTAGAAATACAGTTAATATCTTCCTTCAACAAAAGAAAAAAATTTCTCATCTTTTATTTTTTATTTCAATAAGAATTTTTTCATATTTTGTTCAACAAAAAAAATTTCGTTCAATAATTTCTGTAACATCTCAGGAAATACTGGGGCAAAATGGGGGGCTTGTAAAATTCATCATCGGATTTTCACGTTCTAATTACGAAAATAACTTGAATTACTTCTTCTCACAAAATTGTTATCCAAGTAAAAATAAAAAATTGCTCTAACCGCGATCAATTACTCATGTTTATGAAATTTACATGAATTTGATGAAACCTATCTGTCCAATTGCACCAAATGCTTGGGAAACTAATCACCAATTCAGTAGCGAAGCGGTAAACCGGGTTAAGTCGTTTTTTACTATTGGCTAGTTTTTGACGAATATCTCGGAATCTAAAAGAGATAGAAAGATTTTTGTCATGACCTTTTTTGTAGAGCCAACAGAGCGTTATAAAAAAAGTCATGAGAAAAATTTTGCTATCTCTCTTAGATTCCGAGATATTCAGCAAAAACTGGCTAATAGTCAAAATCGACTTAACTCGGTTTACCGCTTCACTACTGAGTTGTTCTAAACAATTTCCTCCCTCTCCCCACCCGAAAAATCAATAAAAAACCATCGAATGATTTATCCGAGAAGACCCATCTCTAAAAACT